AACACTTAAGCTAATCTAAACATGATATGGCATATAAAGACTAAACACACGAAGATAGTTCGGAGAATTTCAACGTGAAACATGACATGATTGGCACGGCTTCTCGCACGGCCTTACAAGAAAGGATACGCATGCACGCCTAAACGGAAGACTAAACTTAGTAAATGTAATAATCTCAACCTACAGCGATAGGGAGTTTACCTCCGATTATGTTCAACTAACGGCAACACTTCGGACTCCCGTGCTTGTGCGTGGCCTTTCGCGAGTGTGGCGTCGCCGTGCGGTGCGTGTGCTGGGCTGCGATGCTCTCGGTGCGGCGGTGCTATCTCCCTCTCAACCTTACTAATTCTCTACTCTCTCAAGCTCTCTCTCGGTTGGTGTATATTAGAGACAATGAAAGAAAATTTCTCCCAACTTACTTAATATATACATGACCGAACAAAAGCTTAAGAAGGTGGAATTTGGCTTAAGAAATTAAGGACACTTGTAATATCCTAAGAGATCTTAAGGTGACTAATCACCTCATCATCCCACATAATGCCACGTAAAATGACTTAAAGGAGAGGAAAATATTGCCTTAAGTAAAAGGAATTAATTAGGCCTTTGAACAAATTCCACACGGCTAATAATATATTGGTACAGCTTTTGGAAAACAAGTAAAGAAATTCCGAACGGTTTATCTCACTAATCTTGGATTAATTATTAATTAATCCCTCAATTATGTTTAATTATTTAATTAAAAATAATGTTTAGTTACCAAAATTATTCCGAACGTAAACGGTATGTCGATAATAATTTCCGGTAATTTCGACTGAACTGACTGAAAATAATTAATTCCGAAAGTTAATATCGGAACTAAAAATATAATTTATACTAAAACTGACGGGATATTACATGGTCATTGAAGCAGAGGTGGAGAAGCTGTTGAAGGCGGGGCATGTACAACCTATTCAGTTCCCGGAGTGGTTGTCTAACTCAGTTATGGTGCGCAAAAGGGAAGGAAAGTGGAGGATGTGTATAGACTTCAGAGACCTCAACAAAGCTTGCCCTAAAGATCATTACCCCCTACCACGTATCGACCAGCTCGTCGACTCTACGGCTGGGTGTGAATTATTGAGCATGATGGATGCCTCTCAGGGGTACCACCAGATCCCTCTGGCCAAGGAGGACCAGAAGAGGGTCAGCTTTGTGACATCCAAGGGTACCTACTGCTACGTTGTCATGCCTTTTGGATTAAAGAATGCGGGAGCTACTTATCAGCGGTTGGTGGATAAGATGTTCAAAGGGCAGATAGGACGGAACATGGAGGTCTATGTCGATGACATGCTAGTGAAGAGCAAGAAGGCGGACAATCATGTGGTGGACTTGCGCGAGACATTGAATACTTTGCGACTATATGACATGAAGCTCAACCCAACTAAGTGTAAGATCGGGGTACAGTCGGAAAAATTTTTGGACTACCTAGTGACGGAGAGGGGCATCGAAGTCAATCCGAAGAAGGTGCGAGCCATCATCGAGATGCAGCCACCAAGGAACTTGAGAGAGGTGCAGATCTTGACCGGGCGCCTAGCGGGGTTGAGCAGGTTCATAGCTCAATCCGCGGAAAAGAGCTTTCAATTTTTTAAGGCTTTGAAGAAGGGGTCGCGTTTCGAGTGGACGCCTCAGGCACAACATGCATTCGAAAGGTTGATAAAGGAGGAGCACGGGCAGCAGAAGCCAATATATTATGCAAGTCGTATATTGCAAGGGGACGAGCGACGATACTCAGACGTGGAGAAGGCCGCCTTGGCACTCATCTCCACTGCGCGGAAGTTGCGCCCCTACTTCCTAGCGCATAAGTTCATGGTGCGGACCAACTACCCACTCAAAGATACTTTGGGTTGTCCTTCGGCCCCAGGAAGGATGGTGAAGTGGGCGGTTGAGCTAGGCGAGTACAATGTCGACTTCGAGGTGTGAAAAGCTATTAGGGCTCAGGCGTTAGCCGACTTCATACAAGAGTGCACATTGGGAGATGAGAAGGGACCATGGATGGTGTATGTCCATGGCTTATTGGCCGTAGGAGGAGCAGGTCTCGGCATCTTGGTGGTCACACTCGAGAAGGAACATTTGGAGTTCGCGGTGAAACTCTCATTTAGAATGTCGAACAATGAACTGGAGTACGAAGCCCTCATCAAGGGGATTCAACTCGTTTTAAAGAAAAGGGCCCGACAAGTGATCATTCACTCGGACTCTCAGCTCGTGGTCGAACAGATCAGGGGCGAGTACAAAGTTAAGGAGGAACGCATGAAGAAGTATCTGGTGGAGGTCCATGCGATGCTGAAGGGGTTCGTGACTTGGGAGTTGATACAAATACCACGGGGAGAAAATGGTAGGGTCGGTCTACTCTCAAAGGTGGCCGCATCACTTGTGGATTGTCGATCTCGGTCGATGACACTGATGGATATGACAAGGAGTACCTTAGATCAGGTACTGGAGGTTGAGGAGCAAAGGGATTGGAGGTCGCCCCTCATACAGTGGTTGCAAGAGCCGGTGGTTGGAAAGGATATCAGGGACGACCCAGTTGGAAGGAGAGCATTGAGGTTCTATTTGCAGAATGGGATCTTATATAAGCGATCGTACATAGGGCCCCATCTAAGGTGCGTCTTGGAGCGAGACGGTGAGTACGTGCTGAGGGAGGTACGTGAAGGTTGTTGTGGTGACCACCTGAAGGCTAGGGCGTTGGTCGGGAAGGTGCTCCGGGCTGGATACTTCTGGCCTAAGATGAGAACGATAGCACAGGATCTTGTGCGAACATGTAAAAGGTGCCAGCAGCATGGTCCGTTGATTCATAAAGCAGCCGAGAATATGGTCCCGATTAGCTCACCTCTACCTTTTACGCAGTGGGGGGTTGACATAGTTGGACTTGCCCCAGGCGACGGGCCAACGAAAGTTTCTCATTGTGGCAGTGGATTACTTCTCTAAGTGGATTGAGGCCGAGCCCTTGGCGAAGATCACAGAAGAGAGGGTGATGAAGTTTCTTTTCAACAACATATGTTGTCGGTACGACATCCTTCGAGTGCTTATAT